GACAAAGAACTCAGACCCTAAAGGAATGAAGGTATGGGTCACTCCTCTAAGATCCAAGACCTGTTGAGGGATATTACACACGTACACACACACACACACACACACACACACACACACACACACCATATATTTTTTTGTTTTTTCTTTCCTCTATTTCTTTATCATGTTATGGAACATCAATTGAAGCTGGAAAGATGGCTCAGAGGTTAAGAGCACTGACTGCCTTCCAGAGGTCCTGAGTTCAATTCCCAGCAACCACATGGTGGCTCACAGTCATCTATAACGAGATCTGGTGCCATCTTCAGGCATTCAGGCAGAACACTGTATACATAATAAATAAGTCTTTTTTAAAAATTGAATTAGGTAACATCATCAATTGATATCCATTGTGAGACACTTAAAGAATGTACCTCATGGGACATTGCCACCTGTTCTAAAATATGTAATTCATTTGCACATGTACACGGGATACTTTGTGGCTGTTCGTGGGAGAGTTACATCATGTTAGGTATAATTATGACCTGATTATTGTTTCCATTTGTAAATTAAGTATGACATAATGAAATGTGACAAATTGACAAGGGGCAGACTTGTGATGACTAATTTTGACTGTCAGCTTGACTTCATCTGCAGTCAACTAAAACACAAGCAGCTGGGCATGCTCCTGAAGAAAATTCTTGGTTAGATAATTCGAGGTGAGAAGCCCTACCACACCTTCTGGAGGCAGACTAAACAAAGGGGCACGAAAGAAGGAAGCTTTTGCTCTTTGCCTGCTTGCCCTCACTCTTATTGGCAAGTTCATCTTTTATACAGCCATGACATTACTTTCCTGTCATTAAAACACACTTACTTGGTCAGGATTTCAACATAGACTGAGCTGAGACATCCAATCTCATGAACTTATCAACCACTAGATTCTTGACCTTTCTGTCAGGAGACAGCCAGACTAGCTGAACCACAGCCTGTATGCCACCCTAATAAATCTCTTTTTTTATTATATTCACATATATTTATATAGATCCTTCCATCACTTCTGTTCCTCTAGAGAACTCTGACAAATACAGATACAATGAATGGGTATTGGATTTCATTAAATGCTGTTTCTGTATGATTATGAGGTTTTGTCTTTGATTCTGTAAAACTCATACATAACTTTGATTTTTAAAGAAAAAAAGCTAACTTTGAATTTCTGGGTACTTGGTCATATTTTGTAAATATCCTTGTATAGTATTTGATTAATATGGCAAGTTTTTGTGTGTGCTGGGTATTCAGTCCAGGGCCTCAATAAATACAAAGTCTACTGCCAGTAGCTACACACCACACTGCTTGCTAGTATTTTTGAGACAGGATCATATTATATCACTTGGTTTTTTTTTTGTTGTTGGTGGTGGTGATGGTGGTGGTGGTGGTGGTTTTTCAAGACAGGGTTTCTCTGTGTAGCTTTGGAGCCTATTCTGGAACTCGCTCTGTAGACCAGGCTGGCCTCGAACTCACAGAGATCCACCTGTCTCTGCCTCCCTAGTGCTGGGATTAAAGGCATGTGCCACCAACGCCTGGCATTTTTGAAGTATTTTTGCATGTGTAGTTAAAAGGGATGTTAGTCTTTAGTTTTATTTCCTGATTTGTCTCTTCTTTTTGTTTTGGAGTCAGGTTCTTGGCTCATAGAATGGCAGCATGTGTCCACAGACATGTAAATGGAATTTTCATTGTTACAATTTATAAATTGTAATGTTTCACTTTCTGTGAGTCAAATTATCATCATCATTTTCTGGTGCTTGGATTGGACCTAGTATGCTAGAGTACCCTGTATGACTGAACCATAGTCTTAGGCAACTCCCAAGTTAGCATTAAGGAATAAGCAAGGTCTCATTCACTAGTTTGGCCACCTTCTAATTGGTGCAAGACATCTGGAGTCTTGTACTGTGTCTTGTTGCAGACAAGATGAGAGACAGATGATATGTCAGGGCCTATAAACCTCAGTGTCAGCTCCACTGACTAGAGAGGAGAGGAGTGTGTCGCCCCCTACTTTTCTTCTGTATCATGGAGTGGTTACAAAATACTCCCTGAGTCATTACTGGCCATCTTCATCACAGCTTATCTTGAGGCCACATTCTCTTGAGATTTGGGGGAGATTTGTGGTAATGGTACACAGATATTTATGAACAACAAACCTGACTCTGCTGTTTAGTGTCTCCAGATGCCAAGAGCCAATCAGCTATCAGAAGAATCTATGTGTCAACTTGGTGTTTCAAGAAGTCAGACTGTCCTGTCACTGTTGCCTTTGTTATGCATCTACAATATTGTTATGATCATGACTGATCTGGGTTATTGTTTAGTTTGTGAAGTTCAATGTTATACAAGTATAATGTAATTGAAAGGAACTGCTTCTTTCCAAATTAATTGATCTAGGTACATAATTCATTAAGTTACTTTCAGTTTTTGAAAACAAAACAAAATCATCTCAGTTTGATATTCACTGCTGTCCATTTTTCAAACCTCAATTCACATGTCACCTCTTCTAGAATGAGCAGCCACTACTTGTCGCTTTATCCTATGTGTACTGTCTCCTTTACCCTTCACACAAGGTTATGAGGTAGGCCTTATACAGATGAAAAGCCTGGGGGCCCAGAGAAGTTAGGAAATAGGCCATTATCACCTCTACAGTAAAATGACCACTTTGATTTAAGCACAAATTCAGTTAACTCAAGCTGGCCTCTCCTGTTGCTGAGCTAGCCCTCTGCTTGCTGTGTAGGCCCTGCTCCAGCACTTGCACAGTTTTCTCAGAGACCTTACCTCTCACAGATTCCATATGGCTTGACACAGAACTCTTGGTTGAGTAGCTTGGGAAGGCCTTCCAGAACTATGTGGTTGGTTCTATTTTGTATTTCTAGCATTCTAAAGTGTAGTGATACACGGGTGTTCTGTATGTTCAAACAGGCGACTTACTAAAACAACTATACTTCTAGGAACTTTGACATAGAAGGAAACAAAGTACTTATTTAATATAAACTTTTGCTACCAGTCAGGGGAATTGAGGCTCACAGAAGGAAGGTGACATTTACCCAGTCATACAGTGATAAAGTAGACCATGTTTTCTGTCCATGACTATTTCATGTAAACCCTCAGGCTTTGGTTTAGAAGTTGCAAAGCTGATGTCATATGCCAGTTTGTAAGTTTAAAAAAAAAAAAAAAAAAGAAAAAAAAAAGAAAAGACCAAAAACCTAAGAGATCTTAACTTGAGGTATCAGAGGTGTTGTGGAAAATTCCAAGCAATGACTTCATACCTATCAAAGCTGTTTATTAGTTCTGAAGATCACTTCCCACCTGAAATAAACTAAGGCCTCCCTCAGGCCCCAAATCAGCCAACTTAACCCCTAGTAAATTAAGAACCTGAGATGTGAGCCATAGAATTTACCCAAGGTATTCTGCCCAGCACAGCTGCCCAGACAAGCATAGTGTTCTACTTCACTGCTGTACTCTTACTCAACAGGCTGAGTCCTATGGATAGAGAATAAATACAATCTCCCTCTCTCAATCCCTCCCAATGGCTGCTCCTTCCAGCTAGGCCTGACCTGCTAGTTGTTCTGTCATTCCCCCCACACCCCAGAGCTCACCAGGCCTGCCCAGCCACAGGCCTCAGGCTTCCTTCCTCCTGACTCAACACCCACCCCAAACCATCCCATCCATAGTCAGGGTTATCAAGAAAACCATTGAGACCCTCTTTTCAGTAGTGCAGAGAACAAAAGCAAAGGCAATATCCAAACATCAATTTCTCTAACATTGATGGTTTGGGTCCCCCTAGTAAGCTGTGGTCACAGCCTTTACTCATCTCCCTGCAGATAATTAAGTTGCAGCACCCTTTCACCTGTGAGGAATTCAGCCAGTCATTTCCTTGCTCAACTGTCCTAAAAGCTTCTCCCTAGTCTTTTACACATTAAGCCAGTTGGACTTTGCATTTTGATTTCTCCACTGGTATTCCATCTTTCTGTATAGATGTATCCTCAAAATCGTCATCTTATATATGAGCATTTTGCTATTCTTATTATTCTCATTCATTTAGGCTAACCTGACCCTGATAATTTATATTTTCTCAGTTTTCTAATATTTGCAAAGAGAATTGTTCTCAAAGCTCCTCTTATTCATCCTAAATAATTTCTTTGAAATTATTACCCACTGTGATGGGGCCAATTAGGGGTTAATTCAAGGTCAGGCTCAGTAGCATAGGGAGGCTTGCTCAAAATTAAAATGTATTCTTCTTCTGTTTCAGACCAGCTACTGTCTGGGCCTGAGCTGACCTAAGTTGGGGCTGCTCCCAGCAACTGGGCTGAAAATGTAGCTATTCTGAATTAGGGTGCACTGACGGTGTGAGTATTCATCTAATATAAATCCTATCTGGAAAACAGAATATAAAACATCTCAGTAGTACTTTACATTGAATATATATTTAGATTAAATGATATGTTAAATAATAAATAATGTCTTTAAAGAAAAAAACTTTAAATGTTGCGGGGTAGTAGTGGTGCATGTCTTTAATCCCAGCATTGGGAGGCAGAGGCAGGAGGATTGAGGCTAGCCTGATCTACAAAAAGAGTTCCAGGACAGCCAGAGCTGCAGCACAGAGAAACCCTGTCTCGAAAAACCCAAACCCAAACCAAACCAAACCAAACCACACCAAACAACAACAAAACCCAACCAAGCAACCAAAAAACTCTTTAAATGTCACTATGAGGAAATTTTAGTTTCCAATTTGCCTACACTGTGGCATTAGTCAGCAGAGTGACCTGTAAATGTCACACTCTCAAGAGAGAAAGGTGAAAATTATTATATTTCCTTGAATTTTTTTTCTGTTTTGTGAGATGGGGGTCTGAACTTCGTGGCTCATGCTGGCCTGGAACTCAAGATTGGTCTGCCTCAGTCTCCCCATTCTGGGATTATAGGAGTACAAACCTGGCTATTTCCATGATTTGGGGGACCGTTAACTAACAATGAAACAAACAGGATTTTTGTGAAATTTTATTAAAAATTCACACAGTGTTTTCATTTGTAATTGAGACTACCAAGCCCTGGAAAGGCACTTTTATGTCTTACATATTATCCATTTAATAAAGACAGGCCAGCAGTGATAACTGAATGGCAATTGTCTTCTGCTGTCATTGGTAGAGGGAGCCTTAGGAAGGTTTCTAAAGAACCAGGGACCATCAGCAGTGTTCTGTGGCCTCCTGTCCACAGGAGGCTGCATTCTCTCCAGTGAATTCACTCATTGCCACTGGAGTTGTTCAGGACGAATCTCTGAGCAGAGTGGGTCACATGTAGGAAGGACTGAGCCTACTTGGGAAGAGAGGTGGGTTCATTCTGGGACAGTAGGACATTGTGACATCAGCAGTGATGGTCTCTGAGTTTCCTATTGCTGACCCTCCCAGTCCACACTGTTACCTGCTCCAAGCCCATTCCTCTACCATGAGTGTGAAACAGCTAAAATCAGCAGATCCGAATGGACCTTGAGGTGACAGGCTGGCTCTGGTGAATATTGCTATTTTCTCTTTAGAAGGTGACCCACCACAGTATTACGTGTTTTTGATGAAGTGGATAATGATGCCTGATTCCCTGAGGTTTTTCCCTTTGTCCTGATTAAGGATTCCTCTTCGAATGGTTCCGAATGTGGAGGAAAGAGTCCCAGGCAGTCATTCCTTCAGCTTCACTGGTAACGTTTACTGGGGCAGGGGACAGCAAAGGCTTGTTTTTCTAAGCCCACTCTCGTTACTCTGGTGTGAACTGGGGCCTGTGGCCCCATAGATTTCCTGTGGGCCATAAGGCCTAAATCTTACAAAAGGGTTCTCCTTTAAAACTTCTACTTTGGAGGCTGAGGGTAAAGTACAGAAAAAAACGGTGTGCTCAGCATGTACGAGACCTTGGGTTCAATTTCTAGCATACACAGACACAAACATGCTATAACTCTGCATCAATAAGCTCTACATGTTATTTTATTCAGGCTAAAATACTTTGCAAAATATGGGCCCAATAAACACATTTTATGTAAACACAGGACTAAACGGCATCCACCCAAGTTATGAGAGGCTGGTGGCCACATCTCTCAGACTCATGCTTTGAAACTGAAGTTGGGCATACAGAGCTAGCCTGCAGGCTTCATTTTAGCTAAATGAACCACCAGAAATGCTAGCAATCTGTCTTTTCAGAGTTCTCTTGCTGCCAAACATAGATTGTAGAATTATAGTCTCTTTGATTTTCCATGTTTCTCTAAACAGAGTTGCAATGATTCTTATCAGTGAATATTTACCTTAACATAAAAAATTTAAGCTTTTGCAGCAACATTTTCCAAATGGGTTTACCTTGGAATGTCACCTGTCTGCAAATACTATGCCATTATAGCTATGGGTGTACAAAGAATGTGTGTATGCATGTATGCAATATTGGATTTCAGCTAGATGTTTCATCTTAATTTCTTTTGACTGAGCCAAAATTACTGCTATAAAAGTAGTTTTTAAATTTGTGTATTTGAGGGGCTGGAGAGAGAGAGTTCAGTAGGTAAGAGAGCCTGTTGCTTAAAGACAGGGACCTGAGTTCAGATTTCAGCACCCACATACTAAGCGAGGCATGCCAGCCTATAACCCCAGTGCTAGAGTGGGGATGGAGCTGAGGCAGGAGGATCAGTGGAGGTTCCTGAAAGCTAGCCTGACTCTAGGTTCAGTAAGAGACCCTACCTCAAAAGTGTGAGGAACAGAGTGATATAGCAGGATATCTGATCTCCTCACTGGCTCCACATGTGTGCAAAGGTATGTGCACACCTGCAAATATACATCACACACACACACACACACACACAAATTTCTGTATTTGAAAAAAAACTAAAGCATTTGAAACATCATATTAATGAATACCTTCTGTTAATTAAATATTGTAACTTATGCATTATCTTCAAGAATCTGCAAATAAAAAAAATAACCAGGGCAATTTTCATAAATGTGCTTATCTCACACAATAATAATGATTCATATTCTCCATTTCACATTCAGTTTTGTGGCCTGGAAATGTAGTGATAGGTACTACTGCTATTACATTTACCCTATGACCATGTGTATAATATGCATCTTCCAAGGAGCATGAACACCTTACTACAATAGCAAACATTGTTATTATAACTTCTTTTGAGACAGGCTCTCACTGTGTAGCCCCGGCTGAGCTGGAACTTATTATGCATACTAGGCTGGCCTCCCCTTGCATCTGCCTAACAAGTACTGGAATTAAAAGCATGTGCCACCACATCTAGTCCAGTTATTACTATAAGTAGTTTTGGCTGTTTTTGAAGAGCAGGGCAAACATTCTACCTCTGAACTGTATACCCACAATCCTATGCAGTCTTAAGACCCATGGAGAGCTATCAGATTATTTTCCTCTAATTTATCTAACTGCTACTCCCCTCCCACCCTGTGTGTGTGTGTGTGTGAGAAAGACAGAGACAGAGAGAGACACACAGAGACAGAGACAGAGGGATCAGTTTCTCACCCAACACTAAAAACTCGGTAGGTAAAACACTTGCCTCATAGGCATGCAGACTTGATTTCAAATTCCCAGAAGGTATGGAAAAGTAGGACACATAGAGTCCTACACTTAGAGGGTCAGCCAGTCTGGCATATGAGGTGGAAAAACAACAGGAACCCCACATTAAGCAAGGTTGAAGGCATGACACCTGCGGTTGTCCTCTGACCTCCATATAAATGCCAGGGCATCACTGACTCCACCTACAAATAAAACAAACAAAATTACCTCAAAGATGCATGTGATCAGGTCTTTGCCCTGGCCATAGAGGCAAATGATTATCAGGTGATGTCTTAATCTAACAGAATACTCTAGGGGTCATAGAAATGTAAAATGAGATGCCCCAATTGCATAAGTCCAGAGTAAGAAATAAACTGTGGTAGTTAAGAGAACATATTATAAGCAGATAGTCTAAGTCCTAGCTCTATTACTTGCTGTGCAACCTTGGGCATATTACTTACCCACTCTGTGCTTCGATGCTCCCTACCAAATGGGCATATCTCAGACCTTAACTGAGTCTCATGGGCTTAGACAGTATGATACACGGGAAGCCCTCACTCATGTTAGCTAGAGTGCCAGAGACAAAACAGGACCATACACATGAAGTATATCCTGCTTAGCAGGCAAACACTAAAATACGAGCTGCATTTGTGTGGAGGGACATGAAAAGGGCAATGGAAAGATGAGGAGAAAAAACCTCCATGACTCCAGAGAGGCTCGTGTTAGGACAGTTCTTAGAGGCTGTGAGGAAGAGATTTCTAGTATGCATAGCAGACAGACAATTCTGGTTCAGAAGGTAAAGTATACAGAAGAAGGGATTGGGGGGGGGGGGAGACACGACACATGCCTGTAATCCTGGGAGCTCAAACAGAGCTGTTGACAGTTAGCCTGGGCTACATGGTCAGGCCCCACATCTCAAAAGGGATGGAGGGAAGAGATTACTGACAAGAGATAATGGACTGTTGGCTATGGGACAGAGGTGGAATGCAGGTTTGTTCAGGTGATAACATTGGCAAGCTCAGACTAAGGGAAATGAGGTTGAGCCATTGTGGATGGTTCTGATATTTAGCTTGCATGATGAAAAAAGCAGGGGATAAGGAGGCTTGCTTTGAGGCCAGTGGAATGAACAGAATTGGTGTTTAGGACATACCACTGCCGAGCTTTGGCCAAGATTTTGGACTCACTGGGGATATGGACAGGAGTCAAGGAAGTAGAATATATGAAGAGATTCGGGGTTGGTTCTGGAAAGCCCATCATTGAAAAACCAAAGAGTTTAGTTAGCAAAGAAAAATGGTCAGAGGAGGGGAGACTAGACGTAAATCATGTCACGGAAAATGGTGGGAATTCCAGGAGGAAAGGTTTAAATGCAGAAGAGAAAGAGGTCACATGGAACTAAGAATCACCGCTTGGAGTTGGCACTTAGGGAAAAAGAGCTTTAGGAAAACCTACAAGCTATTGCTGCAATAAAGTCTAACGGAGTGCAGCAAGAGTCAGTCTTCTTCGTTAATATTTTAGGTTGCTAGGTTGAGTTCCTAGAGAATATCCACAGGTGTGATCCAGTTTCAGCTTGCTAACGTGTTATTTTCTAAGGGCCTTGCAAGAAGCTAGCCACATCAGTGTACACAGGCTGCTGATGGCAAGAATGAATGAGTGACATGTCCGTGGCGCCAAAGATCTGCCTCCACAGGGCTCTGGGAACTCTCAACACGTGGTTAGGTCTAAGCAGTAGTAGGAGGCCTTGAGGAGTTACAAAAGTTGTTTTAGTAGAAACTTGGGAGGCTGTTAACTTCTAGGGCTTATCTGGTGTTGTTTGCCCGTGTTGAAGGGAGACAGACTCATGTTGGTGATGAAGACGCGGATGGTACTGTCGGGTGACATACACAAACCTGGGCAACCGTGGACGGCTTTTTAAATAGCCATACTTGCTGTTTTATTTCCTTCCTCTGCAGGGAGCACTGTGTTTCCTTCTCCTTGCAGCACACGCGCGTCCTCTGGACCGCAGCTCAGAAGCCAGGCTAGGTCGAGCTTGGACAGCCCACCATGACAGTGACTCTAGGTGCAATAGTCTCCCGGATTCTTCCCAAAACTTACCCGGGAACTCTGACGTGGAGCTATTAGGAGCG